GAGGTCCGTTGGTTCGTTCCGTGGCTTAGTTGGTATAGCGTCTGGCACGGTATGCAAGAAGACGTCAGTTCGAATCCGAACGGATCGAAGGAATTTTTTCTGAGTGTTTTTTCTGAGTGTTCGATCTTTGTATTAATAATTATAACAAACTAGTGGAGTAATTTCACAAAAAATAATTGAATATCAATTCAATAAAAATTTAATTAAAACAATTCATTTTACAGGTACGAGTAACAACATACAGCCAATGCAATTAGTGCAAACTCCAGACGGACAGACATTTATCTATCAACCAACTGCGAGTGCACCACAGGCTGCAATAGACCAGCATCAGATTATACACCAGCCTGCAGGTAAGATTTATTTTCTGTTTCTGAGAGAAAACTCAAAACACAGCCTGTAAATCTGATAACTAGATCTTGTCGTATGTCTTCTAACCATCTAAAATAAAAGTTAGGCTGATGTTTTGATATTTTTTTTGACGATCTCCGTAGTCGAGTACTACCGGATCAGTGTAGAAAACTTTTTCTATATTGTCTCGGGTCTGGGTGTCTGTGGTTCCGTCGCTGTTTCCAATTTCCATAAGACATGTGCTTTCGTTGCTTACTTTAGGATCGCATTGACGTATGTTATGTTGTCTAATATTGATGTATTAAATTATTATTCTTTGTGCACACACTCATGGCCACACTAGGTAAACCCTGTATCGCGCGTGCCATAGGCACACACATAGACAACCACAAATTACACCCAAACTCACGAGAGAAATAATTTTTCTCTCTCAATCCGGGAATCGAAAAAGCTTTTTAATTATTTTTTTTAGCACCAATGGTTGTTTTTAAATAAGTATAATGAAAAGAATAAGTAACTAAAGAAATAATATAATAAATTTTTATTTAACTAATAGGGTAATCAAATATGTAAAAAGAAAATACCTTGATCCGTAGACACTTAATATTGTGTATTTTCCAGTGAAAAGGGAAACTTTATGTAATAGCAAGTATTTTCTTGATATATTTAAATAAAACGATTTATCCTTGGAAGTGTGTTTGAATCAATATTGTATTTTCTGTTTTCAGTAATCAATCTAAATGGCAATTTGGTGCAAGTGGCGAGTGTTGGCAATGCTACAGTGCAGCCGCAACAAATTGTCAACCAGCCAAATATCGTCATGGTGAGTTACATTTAAATTGTGTCTACCTTACATGTCAGCGGTTAAAACCGATTCAAATGACGCGTTAGATGCGTTCAACGCCACTTTTTCTAACACTTATGAATAAAAGTATAATTAATATATTTTATTAGGCGTTTTTTTGCAGAATCTATGTTAATAATAATGGAAGTAAATTGTTTTGCTCCGCGAACCCAGTAAAGCTTAAATCGTGCATGCAAAATAATATTTGCTTCTCTCCGCATAAAATTAATAAAATAAACTGAACTCAAGAAAGTTTTTATGCTCCAAAACTCTGAATGTATTTCGCATAAGCTTAAAGTATAGAAAATAGTAAACATTTGCATTTTAATTAATTTTTATTAATTAATTAATTTTTTATTGAATTGATATTCAATTATTTTTTGTGAAATTACTCCACTATTCACTGTATTAATTAAATTTTATTGAATACATCTCTCGCCAGGACTGGTAGCTGTAAAGGTACCAACTGGGTGATAAATCTGCAATAGATTTCTCATAGATGGCGCTACGACTAAAAAGTTGTTGAAAGACCAAGTACAAAGACACGACGCAAGCACATAGAAAAATTCGTGAGGTCCGTTGGTTCGTTCCGTGGCTTAGTTGGTATAGCGTCTGGCACGGTATGCAAGAAGACGTCGGTTCGAATCCGACCGGATCGAAGGAATTTTTTCCGAGTGTTTTTTTCTGAGTGTTCGATCTTTGTATTAATAATTATAACAAACTAGTGGAGTAATTTGCATTTTAACTATATTTTACTAAATTAATTTTATAAATAGAAATTCCTCAGTATTTTTACTATTTTGAAATTATTTCTTTTATCATCTGTAAAGGTACATCACGGCTGTATCCGTTCGAGTTGTAGTTTATTTAGTGGAAGAATAGCTAACCATCTGTTTATTAAAAAAATAACCCGCCAAATGGTTGAATTTTCTTTGAAACCCGCCGTTTTTACAAAATTCGTAGTTGTTGTGTTATTAAAAAAAACTCAACTACAATCACAAACAACATCACAAAAATATGCCTGACACGGGTTTCGCTTCTTTAGAAGTTGCTGATTGTTCGACACTTGGCCGAAGAAATTATATTCTTTTGATTTAAAATTTGATCGCAGCTATTTTTCCACTGGGCGCACGATATTTTTTATGATATCAAGCGACGAGACGAACAAATTTGCGCCCGGTGGTAAGCGACACGCCTGTCCATGACCGTTGCAGAGCCTCTCAGGGCTTTAAATCACAAAGATCTAAGGGGCACTGCCACTGCGCCCGTCCCCCTGAGATATAAATTGACAAATCTTATGTGCCTATAATTTCACCATCACTCTTACTCTTCACCCTTAAACCGGAACGCAGTAATGCTCACATTTCTGTTTGACGGTAGAAATAGGTATGGTGGCAGTACTTCCTTGGACGAACTCTTCCACCAGGAGCTCTACTACTACAAAACGACGACTTGTTTGACCAGTAGCTATGTATAAAAAAATAGAAGGAACCTTTAAAGTACTTGTAAGAGCGAGACACATTTATTTTTGTTAATTTCAATGTATATTTATTACTGTAGATGGTGAATGGCGCAAACAATGCAACAGCAGGTGCAAGTGTGTCCTCAGAAGGAGCCAGTTCGTCGGCGGCAGGGTCTGACGAAGAACCGCTGCTGTACGTGAACGCGAGGCAGTACAAGCGCATACTGAAGCGGCGAGCTGCTCGGGCGAGGCTGCACGAGTTGGGCAAAATTCCTAAAGAGAGACCTGTAAGTTCTACCATAGTGTGTCTAACTAGCGCCTCTTCCCAAACTTTTAAAAACTTCCGCAGTTCTCTCACAGGTGGCGCTACAGCAAAAAACCCGTTAAAATCAAAAACAAAGATCTGCAATAAACACTGAGAAATTAGTCTGTTAACTCGTTACACGGCTCAGTTGGGCGAGCGATAGCCCCGGTTTGGCGAAAAAGCGCTGGTTCGAGTTCAACCGGATTGAAGGAATTTTTCTTTATGTCTGTTCGGTCTTTGTATCAACAATAGCACATTTTATTTAGGGTATCAAAACTGCTTCTCATCACAGTATGATCTGATGAGTTCTTTTCTGTTGACTGCTGTCCAATCTACCTGTGACCATGCTCTGTGTAACCGTTCCTAAATATCGGAAAAATAAAAATCATACCGAGGTACGCTACATATCTGTAAAGCTGCTTACAGATTGACTGCATATTTGCAGTTAATGCGTGAAGTTAATAAGTCGGTTTCGACTTTATGTAGTCAATGCGTGAAGTCATTACCCGATACCTCGACTGCATGAACTTGATAACAACTTCACGCATTAACTTCAAACATGCAGTCAATCTGTTAGCAACCTAACTGGTGGCGCACTCCGGAAACTCCATACGACTGTAGAAACTTATTTATCTACTACCACTACGTATAGCACGATCTGCACATGCGCAAATGCGTCATAGAAGTGATAGGGTTGTCCATCACTTACTTGTACTATTTATTCTCTGGTTTAACATGCACATTGATTTGTAAGAGCAAACGAATGTATTGTATATGTAAATAATATGATCATTATGTATACTTACTTATGATTTTGTTTATTAAATACTAAAACACCAGTAAATTACATCAGTTAAAGTCAAATAAGTAGCTTAAACAAAAGACTTAACATAGTAAGTGAATAACACTACCATTAATTACCTACAGAAAATATTTTCCTTTAAGTCTTATCTTTAAATAATCTTTTTATGAAATCTTATTTAAAGAGGTTCTAAGCGAAAGAGTAAAGTAATAAATAAATTAAACATTAACTGCTTAAACATCAAAATCGTCCTTAACGAACGGCTCGCTGACAGCCTTGTTGCCGTTCCGTCAATATAATATTTATTTATTCACTCTCACAAAAGGAAGGTGAGTACAGTGTGGCGTTTAAAGCTAGGGAGAGGCGGAGAGTGACCTTTCTCGTTACGTTTTATTCTCTGCTAGTGAAGTTATTACTTTACAAATTTACTGAATAACCACAGTGGTGTTAAAATGTGTATGGATATTTGCGGTGATTTAACGTTGCAGGCAACGTGACATAACGCCCGTTTGAGGGTATTTTTTAACGTTTTGATCTTTTATAATAATTGGTAGGTAAACTACATTATACTTCAAACTTCGAAATTGTCATTACACTCATTGTTTGAACACCAAACAAGCCAAAGGTGTAAAGAAGGGTTAGATACATAAATAATTCTATATTCGGATATTTTTTTTAAAACAGTATGTGTTCTATAATTGCTAAGTTTTATGTTCGTTTCGTTGTAGAAATATCTCCACGAGTCAAGACATAGACACGCAATGAATAGGATACGAGGCGAAGGCGGCAGGTTTCACTCTGGAAGTAGAAAGTAAGTAAACGTGAAACAACACATTTGTATAAAAAGACTTTGAAATCTATTATACATAGAAATTGAAATCTAATATGCGGTGTTTCGCCACTCTCTCCATGGGAAATCTCCTTATATGAATTAGTAGAAGATGGACTAAAATGACAGTTCATTGTGCAAAAGTGTTACCCGCTTGCAAGCAGCTAGTGGCAGAAATGCACACTTAATGCTTTAAGAAAAAGTTAATTAAAGGTTAAAATACTTTTATGTGTTACAGAAAAATGGACGGAATGGAGCAGATGGGTGACCAACAAGGTTCTGACGAACCAAAAGTGCTGGAAGACATGAAGGATATCAAACCCGACACGGTTTCTATTACAATAATACAGGTAATTATCAAATAAAAATATTACTTAAAATATGTCACCTCCGGATTGACATATTTAAAGCAATATCAATGACTATGGTAATTAGATCTGTACTCCGTCCAACCATTATTAACTTTTGACATATGTATGCCTCCGAAGCTCCGTAATTATTGACATACAACCATAGACAAAAAAATGCAATACTTCCTGGACTCTTTTATTTTTTAATTTTATTGAAGCGTCGTGCTCTTTAGCACTCCTATATTTATCGAACCAACAGATTATGTAACGAAGATTATTTAAGTTAAATTTTGGTACCTGTCTAATAAATTATAAATTCTTGTTTATTACAATGAAACGTCGGATTCTTCTCCATATGAACGGGAATCATCAGTTGAATCCTTATTAACATTAATTTTTAGTTCTTGAGTGCATAAATTGTCAAACGCAGCATCACGATCCCAATCAGACAATATCTTCTTTTTTGGAACCCGCTCGCATTCACGATTTAAACTTCTTCGTAAATAGAATCCATTGTAATAAAAAAATGGAATCGGACACGCATTAGGACATCTCTAATTGATTAGATTTCAAGCTGTCAAAGCTGTTAAATAAATGATTGAACGGAGTATAATTACCATTTCCATAACATATTTGTGTCTTAATAACTCGAAAACTACTTATTCCAATGTCATTTAGACATATTGATAGTTTAGCTTAAAGCTATTCATATTTCCATGTGATTGGATATAATAAGCGAGAAAAAACAATGACCACGGTAATTAGACTGAGAACACCGAATGTGAGAATGGCTGTTTACTAACATAGAACGCAAAGTGTCAATTCCACAAGTTGTGTCAAATTTTTGCTGTTGAATTTTAAGGTATTAATCGTAACAAGATTTATAAACAGTAGTAATCAATGAAAAATATAGTTTCTCTACATACATATTTCACGTATTTTCAGTATTATCGTATCAACCCTTTAACTCCTCTCTCTGCTGTGTACGTATTGATATTGACAAGCCGCCTATAAAATTCCAAATTGATTATATTAACTTTCAAATAATGCGCTCGATTTTCGTACTTGACTGTACGTGTAGGGACGTTTTTTTTTATTAATAGATTGTTTAAACTATAGCCCGCCAATGCGGTTGTATACTTAATACGTTTTCCAAGTCAGATTTCATCATGATTTTTTTTATTTTGTCCCTGTAACACTAAATCTAAAAATGTTCTTATGAAACTATTTTTATTTTCAGGATGACGAGTCTCCAGAACGGCAACCTAACCAATGGCGAAGGTTGGCGCCGCAGCAACCCCTGCAGTCTACATAGCAGTTAACTTTCGAATATCTCGAAACTGATGTGATCGTGTGATTAAACTCCTCGCACACTCAACACGAGGCAATGAACTTTAATGGAGGGGAAATAAAGTGTTTTAACGTCGAAGTGCAAGGTCTATGTTAAGATATTGCTTGCTAATAAATACCACTGGAGTGCACATCAAAGATTACTTATCGATTACGCATTATTAAAGTGACTTCACCACGACCTCCACGGCCTGTGATTTGACAGGCCACGCCAATGCGTGGGAAGAGTGCCGCCCGTGCTGGCGCGGACTCGCCTGTAAGGATGAAAGCATGGCAGCTCAAACCAGACTAGAAGTCGGCGCAGGGCGGCCTGTGAAATCACAGGCCGTGGTAAGCCACCGTTGAAATTTCCGCTTATTAATAAACGTCACTCAGCACTTAAGCTATGTCTCAACTTGGAACCGGGAATACGATTCATATGTCATTGAGGGAGCCATCCCGTAACTTATTAAGCCCTGTTCAATCAAGTGTAGGGTCTTGGTGACTTAAGATGGTATATATCTAAGAATCCATCGATTATAGTCTTAAAATACAGGAGCACTGAATATGTAACTCGACATCTGAGTGATATTTTAATACTGGAATTACGAGCTGTTTATTCTTACAGCCCTAAACAATTGTACAAAAAAGTTGATAGTCAAAATCAGAAATCACAATTGCTAATTATTTGTGAAGTCACACTACATAATATCGGTAAAAAAACACAGTAGGAAGATATTACCGCTGTTTTAACCATTAATATCTCTTGTTTGTTTGTTATGATTAATTGAGTAAAAGATGAGCACTGAACCAATTTCGAGACAAATTAGCTAGATAAAGTAATTAAAATTGATGCATATTTTGGGCTAAAATTTTTTTAATATGTAAATTCGTGACCTTCAAGAGAAATAGCCGCCTTATTAGTTCGGCAAAGGAAAAGGTGAAAATGTAAATAAACTTACTTAATATTAGTAGAATTAGAGTACGCTAGTTGAAATTGTTACTACATTGGAGAGGCTTGAAGAAACCGAAATGGCAAAATTTCTACTTTTTCTATAACAAAAACTGATAACAACCAAACGAATAGACGCTGTCGAGACTCGACCTAATGGTGTACAGTCAGCTTCAAATGTAAATGCTCAGAGTGATAAAAATTTCAAAAAATAAACCTTTTTTTTGTAATACCAAGTGGCGGAATGAACAAGTCGTCCGCCTGTTGGAAAGCGACACGCCAGTCCATAGCAGTCATTGGTAAGTTTCATGTGCCTGTAATTTCACCAGCACCGTTACCCCTCGAAACCGGAACGCAGTAATGCTCACATTACTGCTTGGCGACAGGGACACTGCTATTAAACTTAACGTCTCTCAATCGTTTTCAGACGACAATCAGTCTAATGTGGATTGCTATAACGTTTATTTTAACGTTCAGATGTGTTTCAACACTCAATCTGGTAATTTGATGCTCACTGTGCCTATAGGATTTGGTTTCGCAAAGCAATTGAAAAAATTCTTTGTAAAATTTTTTACACATTTTTACTTTGTAACCAAAATGCGTCTAATCCTGCGTAGTATTACTTTCAAGGTTGCCTTAAGTTATTTGTTGTGGTTTACTCTAGTTATATTCTTACATAATTCGCACCGTTAGAGCGGTTACACGACGGCGACTTTAGCAGCGATGCAAACGCGATACAAACGCGGTGCACGTTGTAATTAATTAACGAATTTATTCATTTAATGTATTTATTAATTTCACCTTTAAATTTACATAATAAAATAATGTGCATAAACCTGTACAGATTTTTCCTACATAATTATTAATTTATAAGAGACGGTATCGATGCAATCGCCTATAAATCTCAAGTGTAGCGATGCAGTCGCGCGTTTTCACGAAAGTCGCCATGTGTAACCACTCTTAGAATGAAAGTGATCTAATTAAAAAAAATACGAAGATGAGCTTATACCAAAAAAAAAACACTGCAGAAGGTTGTTGGAACTGACTTACCAGGACTCTATATGAGGTCTGTTTAATATCTTTGAAATTTCACATTCCCAAATAGTCGAAATTTTGTGTTGGGTCACTTGCATTCGAAAGGTGCGACATGGATTGACCGGGATTTTTTTTACTTTATTTAATAAAAATAATAATATATTATTTAAGTCGCACTATAAATTTACTTCCAAACTAGAAAATTTCCCATACGAAAACGAAATAAATTCCCAGGGGCACTACGCAGTACAACTAGTAAACTGCCGTTCTCTAACTACAATGCAGCTAAGTGATAAAATAATGTTTTGAGATATCATAGAAAGTCATAACCCAGTGTTTGGATATCGAAATTGTTTAATAATGTTCCAACTATGCATTGTTAGGGTAAATTCCGATAAGTCGAATACAAACGAATTTTAATTGTTTTTAAAAGAGAATTTTGTACTCTATCTTTTGCTATTTAAAACGGAAATTTGATCATCTGCCAGTTAGCCGCGTTTTGAGTTAGTGGACGGCAGTAGAGCCAGCACGACTGGGCGCGATTTACGCGAAAGCGACGAAAAGCGCGAGATACTGCTAATAGCAGCAGTAGCGCTCGTTGTGAAACTGTTCGTCCAGAGAAGTACTGCCACCTTACCTATTTCTGCCGCCAAGCAGTAATGTGAGCAGTACTGCGTCCCGGTTTTGGAGGGTAAGGGTGCTGATAAAATTACAGCCCCATGGGACTTGTCATCTTATGTCTGAGGGCCTGTCACCCTCAGTGGCAATGTCAAAAATAAATTGCATAGAGTATCTCGCGCACTTTCTTGCTAGGGCTACAGGAACGTAGTTACGACCTCGCTATTGAGTACCCGGCTTATAACGAGAGCCGTTGGAGATAGTGTAAGGGGTGTTACGTCATGCATGATAGACCCGAACCAGTGTTCTCAGGTACGGAAGCAAACAACAAGTGGCGACGAGGATTTAAAAATCTTTCCACTTTTACACTAGCTATTGTAATATTGTTGTGTATAATTTTGACACTTAAACCTATCTTTGATTAACTAATTATGTTACGTTTACCAAAACTGTTTTTAGTTTATTTTTTAAAACATTAAAAAAAGTACGTTAAAATTTTGAAAATTTGTATTTTTTATTACGACGTATTTATTTTTGCGTTCCCGTATTACGTTTAGGTCAAAAATAAAAATTAAGTTAAAAATCAAAAACAAAAAAAAATTGCCCGTGAATTGTTCACGCACCTTACACTTAAAGCCAAAGCTGCTATTTTGTATTTTTGTAAACTTGTGAACTGGCATTTTCAAAATTCTGTAAATACATGTTCAGACACATGTCAAGCTGTACAGACTTGCTTATAAACTGCAAATATAAACACCTCGAAGTGTAGCCCCTACGTGTACTATTAGCAAAGTTGAAGCGGGGCGGAGATTGTAAAAAACCTTTTTATTTGTTATAAAAACAATGATCTAACCTTGAAATACCACTAGTTCACAAGAGTCAAGCTGCCGGTGGCCTTTCAGTTTAATTAAAGCTTAGTTTTTATTTAGGCAATAGAGGCTACGCGTTGATTTTGCTGATAGTACAATTATAAAGAAATACAGAACTTCTATAATAATATAAAAGCTGATAAGTTAGATACGAGACCTCACCATGTTGCGGAATAATAAAGAACTAATTTCTTTTACTGATTTTATAAATTCGATACTAGCCTACCGCTTGTAGCAACAAAAAGTAACGTTTAGCTTTTAAAAAGCATTCTAAAATAAGTTTGCCAAAGTTCAGCGTTGTGTCCTTACCGCAAGTCGTACATTGAAGAATACATCAGCAAATTTGACACTATGGATTCGGGATCGTTTTTAACGCAGGCGGCGTCATAGATAATTTAAATCCTACATTAGTGTCAAACTTGATGTGCTCTTGTCCGTGTACCTACAACGAATATTTTGCTATATTTTTATGGAAACTCCGTATAGAAAATTCAGTTGAACTTGTTTACATTGCAATTATGATTTAAACAAGTAAAAATAAACATGCACATTAAAACTTTTTTTTTATTTTTGCCCCAGATTCTATGGCCACTTTATAACCTTTTTTACACACACTTATAGCCCCGCACTAGGAAAGCCCTGTGTCGCGGACACACACATAGAACAACACTAATTACATCCAAACTCACGAGAGAATTAAATATAGGCTATACAAATGTTTCTCTCGGCCCGGGAATCGAACCTGGGACCTCTGCGTACTAGACCAGTGAGGCAGTTTATATCCATTACTCTTTATAACCATTATAGAGTGTTGACCTTACCGGTACGAGTTCATTCATTACGAACCTACGAGTATATTTTTAAAGCTTAACGTGATTTATGCAATTAGGTTTTCCAACTACCCTTTTACCTAATCGGTAAACATCACTTAAAGCTTTATTTATATTGCCGCAGAACGGAGTGGAATTGAAATTGTCCGTAGTAGCAAAAATGTAACTTTATGTCAATTTTGTAACGCACAAATTAGTAGACACGACCCAAAACAATATTGTTAATGTTACTTAAAATTATTACTCGGCAATTGAGATCTAGTTGCTTCTGCTGACTACACAAACAATATTGTGAAACGTCATCATTTTACAAACCAAAACTTATCCACAAAGTTAACATTTTGCGAAATTATAACTAAACCAACTCACAAATTCCTTTTGTTAGGGCACTGAAGGTGGTTTTTGCCAGAACTTTTTTCAATACAAACTTGTCAGAATTAACTTCTCTATACGTGTTCACGATACACGCTTTTATTTATTAAGTTTATAAATTGGATTCTATAATTAGGAGTCTAAATGGGACTTTGAACGAAATACCATTCATATAGCCCTAAATCAGCCATTTTTAATTAATTTTCTAAATAATATAACTAAACGAATTGTTAAATTATGTTCCTTTCGAGTAACTTGAACCGATTCTGCTGTTTGACATAACATCTATTCCTATTTAGTAGACCATTTTACGCCCTATCACATTATCAAGTAGATGAATTGTTAGCAATTCATAATAAATGAATTCACACCCCTCGTGGAAGAATGGCATAAGTGGAATTACGTCAAACAATGACATGTTTACTGCTCCATTAGATACAGAAAAATATAACCCACATCCTCTCTCCAATTGCAGAATTATAAATTATATTATAATCTAATATATATATTATAATATATTATGTATAATTTAATATGTATATTATATATAATCTAATATATTATATTTTTCCGTATCTATTAAGCAATAAACATGTTTGACGTAATTCCACTTACGCCATTCTTCCATGAGGAGTGCGAATTGTAAATTAAGTGACCGATGATTTGAAATATGGATCGTATTAGGATCTTATTATGATTCTGCCAATGCGACGTTTTTAGGCCCCCTGAACATTAACCACTTATTTTTATAAAAATACGAGACTATCTCTAAATTTGCGCTATTCAAATTCAGTCTTTAGTTTTCTCATCACTGTTGAGCACGGGTCTTCTGTAAGGGCTGGTTCAAGCATTATATGTGCATTCGCTCACACGACTACAATTGCACGAATTTTATTCGTAAGAAGGCGGTCGGTCACACGGTGCCACGCGTGTAACGCTTGTCATATTAATCGGCCCTTAAATTCGTATAGTTGTAAGCGAGTTAGCATAAAGCGCGTCATGTGAAGCGGCCCTAACGAGAGCCCATACTCTCATACTCAATACGAATTGGAGACCTTTTTCAACGTTCAGGTTTCCTCACGATGATTTCTTCGGTGATGAACAAAAAACCCATAATATGTTACCAGGTGGTGACAAATAATAATAAATATAATGTAGTTTTTGAGAATTTAAAAATAGTCCTTTAAAGGACTTTTTAAAATTTTCTAAAGTGTCTTTCTAAAGTTTATCACACCAAGTAATAACATGATCTCAAACCAGGAGATTATGTGTACAATCAGCAACAAAATGCATTCACGACGAGTTAAGTTATCGATTGAAAGACAAGCATTCTTCTCACTTGGATAGCACAGCTTTTGTTGGAAGTCTACCGTAATCGGGTGAGATATCATAACAGTATTAATTTTTTTTTTGTTAGCTCAGCGACCCGACAGTACAAAGTACGTCATTTCTGTCGGTCTTGTCAATTCCGACCATTCGAACACGTTCAGTTCCTTTAGGTCTTTGGCGACTTCATCCTTCCAGCTATATTTTACACGGCCCAGTGGACGATGACCCGTAAGTTGCCCCAAATACAGTGTTAATTAAAATACAATAAAACTTACAAAGATTTTATTATTGTACAAAGAGATTCATAAAGGTGACATCCAAAAGTTTATCAATAATCAATATTAGCTACATTATTTTGTACTTAATCTATTCCTTACTACAGAAGTTGGCATCAAAATGTAAATATAATAATAGACAGTTATAATAAAAAGTACATAACCCAAATAAAGTATTAACAAAAAATAACCACCATGATGTAATAACAAAGAACACGTAAACCTTCAAAAATTTTCGCAAATTCATTTATAAATACAATGAATATCTGATGTGCATATTATTTTGTCATTTACATTTTATTACAAAATCATCTTATTCATTTTTTTTTTCTTTTAGTATCTTTCAGCTGTACGTTAAATTCTTAGGTACTTTAATTGAAGCCTGGAATGGCGGCTTTATTGGTTTGTAACTAGTTTTTCTTTATCCCATAATGAGATCAATTCTAAGTTACACATGAAGACAAACCATTTTTTTATAATCGTTTGTTTAAAGTTTTCATTAAACAAAGTATAATATCATTGATAATATGTGTGTTTCTAATATGCTATTTGTTCCAGACAATTACACCAGGTAAATACTTGGTCTCAAACTTGGTAATTTCCTAAAATATGTGTACAGTCTGCAACAAAATCCATTAACACCTAACCAATATTTGACTAAAATCAACTTTATTTTAAAGATTTTAAGATGGAATTAATTTTTATCCCGATTGTACTAATTGCAGACTTTACTAGTGTACTAATTCACTTCCGAAATTAATTAATGTGAGAATCTTGAAGTTACTTCTGTGCAGAGTCTCTGACGCGTTGTATTTCGCTTTTAATAGCTGATATGAGCGGTATTGCTGGGTCTTCTGGTGCTAGTCGACCCTCGGCCAGTATAAGAGCTGGGTTTACAGTGGGCGCCGGCATTCGGGTAAGAGACTGAAAAAAATAGTACTTAATCATTTCCATAGATAATAAAAAAGGAACTGGTTGGGCTCCTTGTGTGACACAACCATGTTGAAGGAGAGATTGAAGGAAGGCAAGGTATAAATTGCCTTAGGTTAATGTCAGCTTAGCCACAGGTCAAGCTAAGCAGCAGCTGCGAGGCTTCCATATAACTCGATTTTCACCGGCTTGCCTAAAATTTTCCACGTATTATCAAATACTACATACTACGTGCTAAATTTTAGGTGTACAATAAGTTAACCGGTGAAATGAATTGTACTAATACCTTGTATGCTAATAAGTCGTATTTAAGTGTCGCCAAGACGCCATTTTTTCTTAAGGTATCATTTTTTATTAAGGTGTTTTTTGTTTTGCTCTGGCTTTACTAACAACAATTTTCACGTCTCGCCACAGCTAAACAGTCAGTTTTTTAAACAAATTTACGCACAATGTAACTGCCCTACGATACAAATTAAAGAAATTAATGTGTTCAAAAGTTGTATATTTCCAGGTGTGGCCATCCTACTAGACTAGATAAAAGTAAAAGTGAAGGTGAACATGAAATCATATAAAAAGCTTCAGGAGAGAGTGTAAATTGTTCCTTAACCCATATTTGCCTTTAATTTGTGGTACAATATCGGTACGGGTACTTACATGAGGCGGCGTAGCTCCCCAAGCCCTAGCTGGTGGCGGAGCCCTACGTTCAAACACTGACCTGGAGAAAGACGTACGAGGTCTAACAGACTCAGGATCCAGAGCACCTGCGCTGTCAGATCCGCTGCAAATTGAGGTACTTATACAAAACAATTCAAAAGTTTACTTGAAAGACATTTGAAGTCAATATGGGTTAGTTTAGAAGTTATTGACTCCACTCTTAGCACTATTATTGAACCGCTCGAATTCAGGTTTATATGAATTCTTTAGAATGCATTATTTTTTTAGTTTTACCTCTCTACTGCATTTCACGTGATAGTACAGTTGCGATTTATCAATGTGAATTTAATTTTTCAGTCTCAAGGCAAATTACGCGACTGCAAACGAGTATTTAATTATTTAGTAGGATAAAGTTCTTACCCAGGACCTGCAGATCGTCCTCTTATAGTATCCAGGGCAGTGTATGGTGAACCTGGTAGCCGAACGTTATCATTTCGAGCTTGAGCAAATTTTTCTCCATCTAAAATAAACAACGAATAAACTGTACATTAAATTAGGTCCAGCATAGTTCCTTGCGGCACACCATCTATCAATCTTTTTACAATAGCAAATAAAAATTAGAACTTAAGGTAATAAACTATCACCTTTAGTTTCATGCATCCACCACGTGACTTCATAAATTTATAGTTTTATAATTGATTTTGTTGTAAATCGATTCATTGTAGTATTATGATCCACATATTCAAAAGCCTTTCTGAAATGGTTAACAACTTACCTCGTTTCTTTTTGTCTTTTTCTCCACTATCCTTCTCAGTATCTATAACAAAAGTCTCCTGGGGAGGAGGACTCGAACCTGCACTGCCAAAAAGCGTGAAGGCATCATCCATGAGTTCGTTAAAACGTTGCCTCATACGAGATGGTCCTGGTTTTTGTACTGAAGCGGTAGATTTTGCTGGACTTGACGTTTTTGAAGCTATAACAGGTTTTATAATATAATTTAAAGACATTTGAGTGCACACACATGAGTTTACACATGAGTGTTTATGGTAGGTTTACGACATATAAATAACATGTCGCAGTGTCAATAAATCAACAAGAGACAAAAACTTCTTCGACTTTTGCAACTATGTCACCTACCATCTTTAATCCTTTGACAATGCAAATCCCATACCAAGGGACCAATTACTCCCGGATCTTTATCAATACTGCCAAGTCGTACCAACTGTGAGGCCATTTGTCTCCTCGGTACGACTTCTTTGGTCTTTTCTCCCGTTTTAGGTCGATGATCCTTCGGTGTAGATATAGGAGAATCTATATCGAGATGACGTACTGATACCGGTTCGAGAATTCTTGATAGGGGTTCTACTATGTTTCCTCTGAAAATATTAGTTAATTGTACTGATGTTTGTTTCTCTAAATGGATTGAATAGGTGTCATAACATTGACTGATCTGATGAAGCTATAGGATATTAGATTGAATTTCAGTATAACGATGTAGTAGTTAAAGCTTCACTACATATATTGTAATTTACAATTCAAATACTAACACAAAGTTAAAATTCTAAGGATTGGTACTAACCTTGGGAAAGAATTAACGGAAGGCATGGAAAGATATGAGGTAGGTGTCAGAGGAACTGATTGCTGCCCACTATCTGAACTATCCAATCCTGCAGCTTCTAGGAGACTATCTGTTGTTCCAACTGTAAAAAATGCTTCGTTAATTTAACATAACGCAAGGTTTAAGATTTTGTCAGATTACACACCTCTCTTTTTTTGTGGCATCCTTAAGGCGTGAGGCTTCTTCTGTCTGCGACGTAGAGCAGTAGCTACTTCTGATACTCCTGACGAAGATGTTGACCTGAAAATGTTCCGAAAATGACCAGTTTGTTTCAAGAAATAAACTTGTATCGCAATAATCTATCTGAGTTGCACTTGTCTACACTCCTACGAGTTTATCTATTATCCATTATTTATGCATAAAATTGTCATAAAATACGATAGTAAAACTGTACTTACCCTGAACTTCCTGCTCTGTAAACTGGTAGAAGAGTGCTACTAGGTCTTGTTCTACTCGGAGAAACAACGCTGATCAACTGGAAAGATATTAAACCTTAAAGTTCACTAAGGATTCTTAGATTAAAATACAAAAAATATCATTCTTCTTAAGATACAATAATGCTTACTTTGCCATCCTTTTCCTCGTGAACTTGTTTCAACTGGTTTCTTTCAGCTTCTCTCATTAGTTCGTTTCTGTACGCTCTAAGGGATGCTGCAGATTTGATTTTCTTTCTGCAACATTAAACAATATTTTCAATAAATTGCATTTTTTATATAACATTATTTTGTTGAAATATTTTTATGTTAAAGGTAGAATTTTTAAGGCAGGCTGTAAATATCTAATCTAATTAATGATGTATTTTATTACATACCGATGTGCGAGACACAGTAATATTAACAATGCCATAATGAGAAGAATAGCTATTGAAGCACCAATCGCAAGTGCCCATAACTCTGTGCCATGTACGCCTGACGCTGTGGTTGCTTCGCCTTCTAGCCCTTCGGCTGCTTTCAGGTACGCTGCTGACAAATTTTATAAAAAAATAGCCTGGCAAGTTAAAGATGTACCATAGAATGGTGTTATTACACATGTGTTTAGGCTTTTTAAGTTTTCGGTTTTCGTGTTATGTAACATTATCATAATTTATACTTCGCGCTAAAGAGCATTTAGGTCACATCATTAAATCCTCCGGTGACCTGAAGGTAGCATTTTCCGCATTTAAGAGGAGAGGTTCAAAGTAGAAAATTTTTTTCGTTACCCCATTTCACAATATTACGCATATTTAGTATATTATTTGCTTTTTAATTCCATTTTAGTGCTATGTAATATTTGTTATTTAGATAAAAACGATAGTAACAGGCTTTTTCTTTTTTGGGATTGGACGGTGATATTTGCTAGCAGTTAATCGAAATTGCACAACGTTATTTATGTAAGATATTAAGTTCCTGAACAATATTTTTGAGGTAAGATGTAAACATTCAGGGTTCAATTATAAAACCATGTTTTCTTGTTGCTAAATACTCACGTTCAGCTTTAGTAGTGACAACAGCGCCTAGTTCTCTCGCTACTTCAGCATCCCTCACCAGCCTCATATCTCTAGCAGCAACAGCCGCTGGTACTGCCCTGCCTCCCACCAATACTACATAGACGATTTGTACGCTGCCTGTTTCTGGAGTCTTTGAACAGTAATTAATTATTGTTGGTTTTTAGAGATAGTTTTCTTGGTCTTATTAAATAGTTTATGTTCTTTAGTCAATTTCCCGCAAAATTTTTCGTAGGGGATGATTTTAAAATCGCAATTTAACGTTATACGTTCATAGTAGCAAGCGTTGTTCAGGAATTTTAAATTTATAACGTGTTTTAATACTTACTTCAGTAATATTCTGGATGTAAACCTGTACCGGTGGTTGCTGCTCTGGTTTTATAATCTCCCTCTTAAAAAGTAACGTTTCATTACTCGCATCTTCTTCTAGAGGTAAATCAATTAATTCTTCTTTACTTTCTGAATTATTGAGCGCTTTATCAATGATTTCCCTTTTTTCCACAATAACTGTTGGGGTTGCTAATATCCATGATTCAACTTCGCTTCTATACGTTGGTCTTATTTGTAAATTTGTATCATTGTTTATCGCAGTATTGGCAGCATATAGTTTAGCTGTTCTCAGACTTGTTACATTCGGTATTATTGTAGCAGCTATAGACTCCATAGGAGTAAAACTTACAACTGAACTTTGAATATCCAGGTATCTTAATGGAGTGTTTGAATTAGGACTTTGATTTAAATTATTGTCTTTATTAATGATAAACGAATGCACCTCGTGTTTTTTTCTAGTCGTCGGTGCATCTAATGATTTAATGATTCCAAGATGACGTTCTTGTTGCCTGAAATTGAGAATATTTAAATTTTTGTTACAAGTCAGCACTAACAATGTTTCATTATTTATTTACTTAAGGCTAAAAGACTAAAAATTTAGTTTGAAGTTGGCCGAAAAGTCTCTGTATAATTTACTTGTCCATCTCTTACGCGGTAAGTTCATGAACTTGTTACTTAATTTTACTTTTTTGTTCTTCATGAATCGTCTCATATCGCTCGCTTTCCAGTAATCTGCAGTAAAATTTTAAAATGGAGTTACTTATGGAATCACTTCGCTATCCGTCTCGGTCTATCCGTTTATTTTCTATAGTACATGTTGTAGGGTAGGTACTCTACTCACCTCAAAAACGCCTTTTGGTACAATCTTGCCAGCTTTAACTGTAAGCTTTCAGGAGTGGATCCTTGTATAACAGTAAGCAGCCAATACCGTCGGTCTTCTGGTATTTCTGGCTCTAAGCTATCTGGACCCACTGGTTCTCCACAGTTCATCACACATTCTCCTGTTGTTTTATCTGTCACCGCCTGAAATAAGAATTCATTACAAAACCAGGCAGATATTCAACATATAATTTAACTATAATTACGAAGATTTTACAACGAATTTTTATTGTGTAGTTATATGTACAAGAATCAACTGAAAAGTTAAACTTGCTTTCTCAAACTCAGGTACTTAATTCATATCGTTGATACCCTTCATTACTTACTTTTCTATCGCAAAAAAACTCACCTGAGGGGGGTAAGAGTCCAAATATACGGTGGCCAGAACCGTGGTGGTCTTAACGATGGGCGTGGATGGTTCAAGTGGGGCTGGTAAAGGCGCATCTGGCGGTGGTGGTGGACCGTCGCCCGACCCTGTCCAGAAGAAATCTTCCAACCGAGGAGTAGGCTCATGCTGATCCGGAGATAGGAGGTACACTGGAGACAAAAGACTTTGTTTAAATGAACTTAGTGCTATGAATAGACAACAAATATTAGATAACACCACATACGTTGCTCTGATCCCAAAGTAAGTAGCTAAAGCACTTGTGTTACGGAAATCGGAAACAGCGACGGTACCACAAACACCCAGACCCAATATAATATTGAAAAGTCCAATTTTTCTACATTGATCCGGCTGGGGATCGAACCCGGGACCTCAGAGATGGCAAAACCATGAAAACCGGTGTGCAAACCACTCGACCACAGAGGTCGTCTTGAAGAATGTAACCTATAATCTGACGAATTGATAGAGTTAGCCGAACCAACCTTCTTCTCCCATGGCTGCTTCAAATAAGTATGACCAGTTCAGGATTTTAAATTTAGACTAGGTAAATTGTACACTTGTATTTAAACTGACTCCGCAGCTACGTTGGTAAAAAGATTCAAAGCCGAAAGCACCAAGACCTCCCTCGTGCTTGTCTGATGTATTAACATAACCACACAAGATGGAGACGCTACCAGACATCATTTAATGTTGACTAGAGTCAAGCTGGGAACCTGGTGTTTAAAATATGTAACATGTATCTTTTATACGAACATCTTCGTTTGCCATAATAATTTGCTCTCTTTTTACAAGTTATATAGCAACAAAGTAAAACAAAAGCATATTATCGTTCCTAATCGAAAAACGAGGACGCGTCGACAAACATTTCAGTAGACATCGCGTGATCTGCCGAATAACCAAACGAAGCTTATAAGTTTATTGGCCCTCCCTGTTATCCGCTCGTCGATTGTGGCGCTTGGTTTAAAATTTTAATCGACGGCGATGAAAACTTAAAACAATGAAAAACACAGTTCTAAAAGGAATTAATATATTGTAATATAACTGCCTCCAAGGCCGAACGGTTACCATGCTGGTCTGCTACGCCATGGTAGCAGTAGAGCTTCTTGCCTATTTCTGCCGCCAAGCAGTAATGTCAGCACTACTGTGTTCCGGTTTTGAAGGGCAGGGGTGCTGGTGAAATTACAGGCACATGGGACTTGTCAACTTGTCTCAGGGTGACGGGCGCAATGGTAATGCCTCTCAGATCTTTGTAATTTAAAGCTCTGTGTGGCACTGTAAATATTATTGACAGGTGTCTAGCTTACCACTTACTTACGCACGACTTGTTCGTCCCGTCACTTGATATTATAAAAAAAATCTTATAAAATGCTTCTACGTATGAGGTAAACATTACAGCTGATTGAATTAATGTCCACTGAGAATCCATAACCCAAAAACAAAAACAGAATTCTCATCTGAATTTTACGCTTTTTACTTTTCTAGTATACATTTACTACAACGTATATTATCCTGTAGATAACGTAAACTAATAATAATAAATACTGATTTGCTTTTAATAAAAATATGCAGAACTGCACACAGCATAATTAATTTGTGAGGCTATGAGAAATAGCCGAACTGGGATTCGGTATCTACCTACCTCAACATAGTTAAATAGCAGGTAACTGCGTAACAAAACTTTATATGCGTAAAATATTACTCTGTAGAAATGATATAAAAATACCTAGCTAACAAGCAACAGATCGATACCTCCAAGCAACACTACAACTTTATTTTTTACATATAGGAAAAAAAATAAAGAAACAAAAAACCAAATACGAAAAAAAACAAAAAGCTAATTAAAAAAATAACAAAGAAACAAAATCAAAATAAAAACAGAACAGGTCCTAAAATTAAGTAGGCGTATTGTTCATTGGAGGTATCGATATGTAAGAATAATCGTACCTACATATTTGTCGTATTGTAAATATAAAACACCAATAGCCAAACTCATGCTTATGATTATTAAGTACCTACCTAGTCCGTCACTGACTAAATTATTTACTATTTAATCAAAGAAGCGATACACCTTAGGTCTACATTATATTCTTATAATGAATAAAACACAATGACCAACCGAAAATCCGTGTCAAGGTTTGAAATTACTACGCTGTCCGCTTTTGATTTCTACCGCATTCACGGTTCACGTTTTCGTTTGCGCTCGCCCGTACCATGCTACTGCTTTGTACTGAAAAAACGCATTTCCGTACTTTCCTATATGTACAGCGTTTACAGTATACTTGTTAGTTTACTGTTATATGCTTAAGCTGAAAAATAGGTCCACTGTGATCTTGTACACGAAATACTTATATCTAAACACACAAACTTAAAATTGTAAATTATAACTTTTTAATGAAACCAGATTCATCTCCTAATTTGCCACTATTAGAGGTGGAATATTTTCTTCGAATTTGAATGGGACCAACGCTGAACTATTCTCTTTCCAACAAAAAAAATAATCATCAAAATCGGTTCACAAATGCGGGCGTAACGTCACACAAAAAAAATAGTCGAATTGAGAACTTCCGCCTGTTTTGAAGTCGGTTAATTAAACAAAAGTTCGGATAAAGTCACGTAATAATATTTTTCAAACAACGTCTCGGTCTTTTTACAGGTCCCATATGGTCACAGTTAACTGCCAAATATATGAGAGAAAAAAAGTTTCATTGTTAATGAGTCATATCATTGCGAAAACCTATTCGAATTATTAGTCTAATAATAATAATAAGAAAATATTAGTCGCACCCCTGGGGGTAATAAAGTGACATCTGCAAAATGACAACTTTTCATGAGAGAGGTTTACCGTGTCAAACCAATACACTGTAACTTCAAAATAGCTCTTTGAGAAAAAGTTACAAAAGAAGCTTTCGGTTTTTTGTAATTTTTCAGATGAATAAACGCAAAAAGATGTATTTAACTGTATTTGTATATTAGATATTAAAGAGTTCTATCCAGCCAATATATTACTTTACAAAGTAAGTGATTTATATCGAAAAATATTTTTCCCCCTTGATAACTGGCGAACGGTTCTTGTTGTAATATAACCTAACCTCCGGTTAAAAAAAACCGTACTCAAATGTCATTCATCCCCTAGTTTGCCACCCGTAGAGGTGGAATATGTTTTTGAAATTTAAATGGGACCACATCTGAGGTACCTTCTTTCCAACAAAAAAGAATCATCGAAATTGGTTCACAAATGACGGAGTTATCGCGTAACATACATACAAAAAAAATACAAAAAAAAAACCATACAGACGTATTGAGAACCTCCTCCTTTTTTTGAAGTCGGATAAAAAGTACAAAACACTGTACTCTGACTTCTTGCTTAGGTTTGAACGAACGAAATTAATCGATAACTTTTTATAAAATTTCACATATTGTCGGGGATAGAGCAATTACGCGTAACTGGCATTTGATTATAAGTTTCCATTTCGGTAATATAGTGGCCCAATCAAATGCAAATGCGTGGCAAACAAATTAGCGTGATTTACGGGAATCTATTGTTATCAGTTCGTAGACAACAAAAATTAATGCTTACTGTCCAAAAATGAAAATCGTAGCCACTGAAATAACAAAGTAATAACTTTAAATCCCTGTAAATATTGGTTCACTGCAGATACGCGCCTTTTACCAATGCTTCATACGCGTACTTGCACTATCCCCAGATATATTATATATATATAATTGTATAATTAGTTTTAATGTACTTTTAACGTATGATCAGAAGTGGCTTTCTTGGGGTACGAATAGTAACTTAAAATAATGATTTTCATTGCAGCGAAACGTATTCAAACGACCTAGATCATTCCATAATTCTGTTGGCAGACAAAATATCAACGATTACCCTTAATAATTTGAGTACCTATTATGAGTTATTTGGGTATGAGTTAATCGCTTTGAATGCGAAATTTTATTGATAACACTGCGGCACTGTAAATATTGATAAGGGTACTGGTGTTACGCATATGAAATGACCCTAATACCCTAATGAACGTAAAATCTTTCATTTGGGGTTATGAACCCGGAGCGCGTTAAAAGGGCTTTGTCAACAAGTGTATAGTTATGAAGAACCGATGATCTGGTTCAGAAGAGTACAGGAGTGAAGACCGAGGTCCGAGGACCGATATCAGAACCTTCGGCACTAGAGGGCTACATAGATGGATGAACAATATGGCAAAGTAAACTGAAAAACCTAGATGCAAATAGCTGAAGATCAGAAAGGATGGCGTGACGCGATTAAAACCTGAAGGAGAATGTATAGAAAACAGAGAAACAGAATAGATATGTAAACAGAACATTAAAAATGACATGTTAGCAAACTTCTGTTTTAAAAAGAATTTTGGAAAAAAAATACATTCGGTATCCGTTACAATTGCTGTCAATCGGATATTTTTGTATGAATTTGAATTTTCTAGAGCAATTCTGTTTTTGAAAATTTAAATTTAGTTTTTGCTGTTACCATAAATAAGTAGAGGGTGTTTTATCAGTGGTGCTTTGTTGGTTCGGGAAAAAGGGAAACTCCGAAAATGCCAATATACCATCCTAACATGACGACGTGCACTGCGTGGCACCGACTTTATTAACGGCGGCACGACACAGGATTTGCATATTTATACTGATATTTTTGAAACAGGATCTATTGGACAAAGGTTTTACACGATCAAATTTTAGTTAAGTAAATAGGTACGTAGTTACAACCAACTTCGTCTCTAACAATGAACGGGTTTAAGAGTCGTTGAGTTGTGTCCATATTCATTTCCATTCAATTGGGCTTACCTAGGCTATATTACTAACACCATAAACAACTATTTTTCCATGACTTAATAATTCATCAGATTTTACATTCATACAAAAGTAATAGTAGATTGTACAACAAGTGCATAAAACGCGTTATTTTATCCGAGACGAGTATATCCTATATAGATATGGATACTTAAATCGAGGGTAAAATGGGCTTTATGAACGAGTTATACACTCTGCTTTTCACATCGATTGCGAGGAAATTAAACAGCAATATTACAAACAAACGATTATTTAATAAAAATTGAATGATAAAGTACAACAATTAGACATATTTAATGTGATGGTTTTTTTATTTTATGCACTAGAGCAT